ACTCAGACTCACACACACACACACACACACTCTCATCTTGACCCCTGTTGACCCCGTGTGCTCGGTGACCTTTCCACCGCATCACTGTCACCATGGCAGCAGAGTTTAACCCCTGTGTGTCGGACAGATGTTTATCATTACTGTGCTTTTAATTAGTCAAACTGCAACTAAACAAACGCTGACAGAAGCAAAGAGAGAGCGACATGCTCACAGAAACAGAGACACGTTATAAATGTGAAATTTTATTATAATAAATATAATTTTATATTATATATCTTTAATTTATATAATTTAATTTTAATTATCAGAATGTATGGAATGTTAAATCAAAGGAGAAGAATCTAGCCAGATACAAATGTGACTTTTGTAAAAGACGTCTGTAGTTTTAAATGATCATTTTATAAGGTCCTTAAAAGGACTTTTTAATTTTAAGGATTTTTAATTGGATCAGAATATTATTATCAATGTTTTCCAATGTTTATTAATTTTCTGACCCACACAGTGTTAAAGTATTATTTTTATACAGTATATTTTAATATTTTCAGTTTTTATTTCAATTGCAGTTTACGTTTCACTAATTTTGCTATTTCTATTAGTTTTCATTTTTAGCTTTAGCTTCTTTTTATTTTTTGTTTATTTTATTAATTTTTTAATTTTTTTTAAATGTTAGTACTTATTTTATTTCAGTTAGTTGCCAAGGCAACATTTTTCATTTTTGTTTCATTTTATTAAATTTAAGTTTTTAGTCGAATATATATATTATTTTTTATTTCTATTTTTTTTTCACCTTTATTTCAATGAATGAAAATAATTTTTAGTTTCAGTTGCACTTTTGGTTCAGAATAAGAATGAAGCATGTAGTAGATGATGTTAGCAACAAAAAAAGAGGTAGAGCAAAGTATTTCTTATATTAAAAATATTTTAATGAAGGATCATGAAATCTTTGGAACAGCACGAGCTGATGATTCATCCACAATAAGAGCAGAATCATGAATGAAACGCTGACTCTAATGGAGTAACGGGACGAGCTGCTGATGGGGATTTGATATGAAAGCAACGAGCAGAGCGCGAGAGAACGAGATGCCATCGCTTTACAATTATGGGGGTAGAATCGTTGCATAATTCCAAATAAATACTTTATGATCCACAAATAAATGTAAAGAGATTAACAAAAATTAAATTTATTGATAAATAAATAGAATGAGATCCACAAATAAATCTTAGAGTTTCACAAACAAGAATTAAATTCACACAAAAAATAAAATGATATTTGCAAATAAAAAACATATTCACAGATATATTTTTATGTCACAAACACAACTTTGCCTGGCATTCATTTGTGAATCACGTCCTGTGCATTTGTAGATCGCTGCGCTTATTTGTGCAGGACGAGATTCACAAATGCATGCAGCGATCTACAAATGCACAGGACGAGATTCACAAATGAATGCCAGGCAAAGTTGTGTTTGTGACATAAAAATATATCTGTGAATATGTTTTTTATTTGCAAATATCATTTTATTTTTTGTGTGAATTTAATTCTTGTTTGTGAAACTCTAAGATTTATTTGTGGATCTCATTCTATTTATTTATCAATAAATTTAATTTTTGTTAATCTCTTTACATTTATTTGTAAACCACGGCAACCTCGCGCTGGGACGCCGGTCATTGTCCTTCCCTCAGTGTGACGCATCCCATAATGATATTATCACAATTTAAAACAACTGTTTTCTATGTGAATGTGTTCAAATGTAATGTATCCCTGTGCTTCAGTAATAGTGTAAATCACAGCAGCTCGTCATGCTGGTGTCTAGTGAGTTTTCTAACTCCACT